GTGTCCCCTGGAAGAATAGCAAGCATTCTTAACACTGAGCCATCTTTCCAGTGTCTGTTAAAATATTCTTAAACGCTCTGTTGTTCTAAGAGGGTCTAATGAAGCCCACATGGACCAGGAGCTGGCTGATGTGAAAGATGACTCTTCTGTTTCACCTGCTTCTGTCTTCATACTGGCTGACATTTAGACACCTGTGTGCCACTACCCTGGTTTGGACAGTACTGGTGACTGAAGCTAGGCCTCTGTTATCCTAGGTAGGCATCCTACCAATTTAGCTATATTGCCAACAAGTCTACTAAGATCCTTACTGAATTCTTCACACATGATTATTTGTTAAATGGAATCACTTTTATTTCAATTATTTTAAAGTATGCCATAAGAAAATTACTACTAAAAAACTGAGAACATTGTTAACCTAAAAAGGCCCAGAACCTCTTCCATCATAAAGTTTAGCATGTAATGTGAAATTAACTTTTGTCTAGCTGAATGTGGTGGCTCACAGCTGCATTTTTAAAATTTGGGAGCCTAAGGCAAGTAGGTTGCTGTTAGTTTTGTGAGTAGTTGGAGGCTAGCCTGGGCTTTAGGTGGGAGGGCTAGAAAAGTGAGACTGTTGGAAAAAACCTACCAACCAATCAAAACTTTGGTTTATAGTTTTTCTCGAGCAGATTCTTCCTCAAGAAGCCAAACAGTGATCTAGCTACTTGTTAAAGTGTTCGGTTTTCTTTTCCACATTTTTCATGAGTGGTATGAATGTGTATACACTTGAATACCACAAAATATGTGTGTTGGACAGGAGACAACTTGGGGAGTCCATTCTCTCTTTCTGCCTTGTGGGTCCTGGAGACTCTACTCAGATTATCAGTTTGCCTGTAAGTGCCTTTCCCTCCCACGGCCTTCTGTGTTCCTTCCCTGTTTGCCTCGCGCTGCTATTCTCTTTCCCTAAAGTTTTAGGCGAGTGTGGCTTTGTCTTTATAGTAATGTACATTTACAACTTGATGTCACTGTGCTAACTTGAAACAATTTTTCTTAGCTTTGTTGTTTGAATTTTGTAACGCATTAAGAATGGAAAAGGGGTCAAGACCAGGTTGGAGAAACCCACAGAAACAGCTGACCTGAACACGGGGGAGCTCATGGACCCCAGATTGATAGCTGGGAAACCAGCCTAGGACTGATCCAGACCCCCTGAAAGAGGAGGTCAGTTTGGAGGTCTGGACAATCTATGGGGCCACTGGTAGTGGATCAGTATTTACTCCTAGTACACAAATGAACTTTGAGAGCCCTCTCCTCATAGAGGGATGCTCTTGAAGCCTAGACACACGGGGGAGAGTCTAGGCTCTGCTCCAAATGATATGACAGACTTTGAAGATCCCCCAAGGAAGGCCTCACCCTCCCTGGGGAGCAGAAA